GGGTACCGAAACAACCATGCTGTCTCAACATGTTATCAACCCAGTACAATAAGGCAGTTCAAACTCTGGATTCTTCCCCACTTGGGTAGAAAAATGATGAATTCGGAAGAATTTAACGCCTGTCTCCTTGCCATGGTCAGATCATTATTGGCTGAGATTTAGACTTTCAGCAGCTTTCCCGTTCCAGAAGTGTATGCCCACCCTGGAAACTAGAGCAGCCTCATAGCTTCTAAACAGGTCTGGGAGATTTTCCAGTTGGTAAGACTGGTGCTCCTGGTGAAATTCTGGTCAGCCTTTTCCAGGGCTCAGTTAGCTCCTTCGTACACCTTGAAGGTGAAGGCAATGAGGCAAGTGGATAACAATGGAGAAACACTCATGCTGGATCGGACAAACACTGGTTAAAGATCACTGTGGGCTAAAGATCAGTGAAGCTGGCAGCTCCATTGCATCTTCACACTGCTGTCCTACAGGGGTTTTTTTGGGTGCTGAAGGTATTGTTCCCACCTGACCCTGAGAGGGATATGGGCACACTTTCAACAGCTACGAAACTTTCAAAGATCTGCACAACATTTCGAAGAAAAACCCATGCAGTGTCAGCAGGACTTCGTCCCCTTTGTTAGTGCATTTCCTTGAACGGAAGGGTTCGGAGCACTCCCTGCTCCAGGTGTATTGGATGAGTTTCAGTTGTTATGGTATAAGGACACAGACAAGGGGCATGAAGAAGCTTGTCCAAATGCATGTGTGCTTTTCCATGGCCCATGCTGGCTCGTTGCTTCCAATAAGGAAAAGCCAGTTTCATCCAGGAGGATATAGATTCCTCCTAGGGAGTACCAGACTCCCTCTCTCAAAAAAAGGTAATCATCAGGCCACTCCTGAAGAAACCTAGCCTAGGCCCAGAAGTGTCAGGCAATTGATACTATCCCCTTCTTGGGCAATGAGCTCCAGCAAGGTGCTGATTAACTCCATAAATTCTTGGATGTGGCTGATTTCCAGGTCCATTCCAATCTGGCTCTAGGCCTTGCATTGAGACTGACCTGGCTTGATTGCCGTGCCTCTTGGGCCACTGAGTGGCTTTCCATACCACTGACCCTGGGTGTTGTTCTAGAGTGGCCACCTGGATTAGGAGTAGTGGGCACAGTTTTACCATGGTTTGATTCCTACTTGGTCAGTTCCAGAAGGCAGTTACTCTCTTCCAAGGAAATTGCATCATGCAATTCCATTGGGCTCGGTTTTATCCTCCATCTTAACATCGGCATGAAGACCCTAATGGAAATTATCCTGGGACGTCGACTAAGCTGCCGTTACTGTCAGTGATATTCATCTCTACCTCTCCTTTTCATAACACCAAGCGCATGTCTTCAATTGGTCCCCGAGCAGGGAGATGGACTGGAGAGTGCCAACAAAGTGAAGTTCAGCCCAGACAAGGAGGAGGTACTGTTAGCAAACGATTCGTCTGCCCATTTGTGTGGTATTGAACCTGTTCCGGAGGGCTGCACTTCCCCCGAAAGGCATGCAGCACAGAGTGCTCCTGGATCCATCACTGTCACTTGAGGTCCCAGCTCTACCAGTTGATCAATATACCCTACCTGCACAGAGATAGCCTAGTGACGTTTACCCATCCTCTGGTAACTTCCTGGATGGATGACTGCAATACACTGTACATGGGATTGCCTTTGCCTTATTGCAAAATAGGGCTGTGAACTGGGTCGATTCAACCATGTGATGTCAATGCTTTTGCCTTGCAGTGCATTTCAATGCCCAGTTCGAGGCATTAGCCTGGACTCTCGAAGCCCTAAAGGGCTTGGGACGGGGTACCTAAGGGCACACCTCTTCCTGCATGTACCTGCTCCCACCCTTGGGCCATTCTTAGGGGCCCTTCTCCAGGTGCTCTTGCCAGAGCAAGTTAGATAGGTTGCCACCAGCGAAAGGGTCTTCTTGGGATAACTTTGGGAATCCCAAAGAGGTTCACCAGGCACTGACATGCTTTCCTTTCTGGCATCACACAAAAACCCTTCTTTCCTCCCAGGGAATTTTACAGACCTAGTGCCAGACTGTAGGGCTGTTTTTGTCACTTCATATGTTGTTTCTTGGTTGTTCGTTCTTTTAAATATGTGAACTGTGTTTTATTTTATTTTTATTCTGGCATTGCAGAAAGCATTTTAGTTATTTAATTAGCTGAGATCCACCCAGAGAGCTTTAGTTATTAGGCGGATTACAAACATACCAAATAAATTAATAGTGTTGGGGGGGCAGGGGGAAGAGAAAGGGACACTGTGCTTCACAATCGAAATAATAGGTTGTTGGGGTAGGGACGCAAGAATGAAACCTTACAGCCCTTTAAATAACCAAGCTGTCCCGAACAAGAGCAATCTCTTCCTCAATACACCTACTGGTCCATTTAATTAAACCCAGAATTTCTGCGGGCAAGGCAGAGGTTCTTCCACTGAGTCCAGTCGGGTCATAACTGGGAAGGATGCCAACTGACGTCCACCTGGCCTGATCTTGTTCCTTCAAGGTCGCCTGATAAGTAGTAAATTGCTGGCCCTTTACAGAGCCAGGTAAGACCTTATGACTCACTGTGACTGGACCTTGCCTGGCTTGGGCGACGGCAACTGGCGGAGTGGGGGCATGTTGCAAAGAAGCAGCAATTCGGATAGTGCTTTTTCACAGCCGGTTCTTGCAGGGCCCGGCGCAGGAACGAGCGTGCAACTTTGAACACTACTTCCGTTTGCACCTCCGCTCCAAAAAGCACAGGAGCACCGGTCGGCTGGAAAAGTTGGCTCCCTTCCCTTAGAACAGGCTCTCCGGCCGGTTTTGCCGGCAATCGGCTCAGCAGCACCCCCGCCAAGTGTGCCCGTGCGGGGCAGCAGGAATAATAATTCAAACATTTCAAAAAATCAAACTACAGGCGCTTTAACTCCTCCTCTCCCGCCCCCAAGCGAAAGCTCCCCCCACTGGCTGCGAGCGGCGCTGCGGTCCGGCTGGGGGCGCGGAAGAGGAGGAAGCAGCAGCGCCTGGCGCCGGCCGAGCGCGAAAGCCCCCCTCCCCGGAGAAGCCCCTCGCCCTCTCCTCTGAAGGAGAGCGGCTCCTTTAAATCCGGGGGCCGATCCCTCGCCGCGGATCCGCCGCCGATCGCGAGCGCCGCGTCCGCTCGCCTCCGCCGGCCGCCGCTTGTTGCTCGGGCCGGTGGGAGAGGAGGAGGAGGAGGCGGCCGCGCGCGCGCGCGGGCGAGCGAGCGAGCGAGCAGCTCCGGCGCAGAGAGAGAGAGAGAGAGAGACGCCCGGCCGTGAGCCACCTGCGGCCGCGCTGAGCAGTCGCCGCCGCCGCCACGCGGCAACTCTGCTGCTCGCTCTTCCTCTTCGCGCGGCGCCGCAGAGGCAGCCTTCGCGGGCGCACCCGCCGAGCCCGCCGCTTTGCCCCGCAAGCACCCGCCGCCGCCGCCGCGTAAGTTTCCAGCCGCGGCGCCTCCGCCATCAGCCGCTCAGGACGGTGCAAGAAGCAGGCGAAGGCATGGCGAACGGATCAGGTGACGGCCGCCGCCGGGCGCACCTGGGCTGATCTTCGGCTTGTTTGTTGCTCGCAGGCAGCTGCGAGGTGAGTCGCTTGCTCGCTCGCTCGCTCGCTCGCTCCCCCGGGGCTGTGGCGGGCTCTCTGGTGCGCCGGGCTCGGGCTGCCCCGCCGCCGCCATCACGCACGCACGCACGCACGCACGCGAAACTTTGATCGCAGGGGGCCGAGGAAGACTCCGATGGAGCGGCGGCGGAGCGGACCTGCGGGCTCGGAAAGTTTCCAAAGAGAAACTCCGCAAAGGCATCGAGGAGGGAGGGCGGCTCCGGGGCGTCGGATGGCGCCGCGTCGCTAAAATAGCGCGCGCGCCCCTCCCCGGCTTGCGCGCGCCCTTGAAAGCCGGGTAGGTGTCTGCAGGCAAAGCCAAGCTTAACCGCGGAAAGCTATTCTAAGGGTTGGGTTCTGCCAGCGTCTCTGGGTCACTTCGGAAGGAGTAAGCCACGCTGCTCTTTCCTAATTTCTTGTTTTCCTTGTTTTCCAGAGAGTGGCCTCCGTAGATTCAGAGGGAAAGGGACGTCCGCCTTCTCTCGCTGTGAACTTCTGGAGTCTAACCGAAGTGAAGCCCTTCAGGACTTATTTCGACTTTACCCCCAGTAAGAGTTCATAGGTCCCGCTGGCCTCAGGCAAACCATTTATCAACCTCAGCTTACCTTCCCGTTGTTATTTAGTAATAACAATGGCCTACTCTGCAGGGTTGCTGTAAGGGCAAATTAGGTGGGTTCAGGGCTTTGAGCAGCTGGGAACATTATAGAAATGCAGAACATTGATGCCAGTTTTGATGTCCTCCACTGCCAGTGCGACCATCTGACTACGTTGCAAAGACTTCTGGCTGGCCACTGGTATCCAGCTGGCGCTGGAACAGCTGGACATTTGCTCAGATCCAGCAGGACTCTTCTGCTGCTCTTATGAGTGGCTCCTCATAGTTGGGGGAATCCCCTTGGATCGGACACCTCGCAGGGGGGATTGTGTGAATTGTGACCTTTGCTTTGATGCCTTCGGCTCTCCTCAGCAGATGGAATAACATCAGTGCTGATTGCAGGCTGGCCCCTGTGCAGCTGGATCCTTGGCATGTTTACTCCAAAGTAAGGCCCTCTCCTTTCAGTGAGACTTTTCACTTGGCTGTGGCTGGGTGGAGAGAGCAAGAGCGGGTCACCCCTAGCATTCAGCCAGCCTGACTAGCCAAAGCTTTCCTGTGTCTGTCGCTTCCTTGGGTGTCTTCACTCCTGTCTAGTGATAGACGCTCCCCTCAAAGGCCGGAAACTGCGACTAGCTCTGCTCGGTTAGTCCTGCCATATGGGAAGATATTAAGAACCTGTTGTGGGCTGCCTATTCCATGGGGTTTTCTCGTGTTTTTGGGAATATTTGCTTCGTATTCCTGCTCAGAAGCCCTTTTTGTGGATTTTGTGCCTGCAGGTTTAATGGGAGTGGGGGCAACGGGTTCCTCTGCTGTCTTGTGAAACAAAAGCAGGTGAGTGTGGCAACAGGCTTTAGCTCACAGTCATCCTTATAAACAAAGCCAGGCCTTAGTTCTAATCCTTCCTTTTCCTCTGTGCTCTTTCTCCCACTCTTTAACTTCCATTTCACCTTTTGCATGAGAGAAGTTGCTCAGGTTGCTCTGCAGAAGAGGGTTTGGCCTACAACTCCCATCAGTACCAGCCACACAGCCGGAGGAGGATGGGAGTTGCAGGCAGGGGTTGCTTACCCTGGATATAATGCAACATACATTTGCTGAAAATGTACCATTAATAATAACAAAGCTAAAATAGCACTTCCCCCCCCACCAAGAAAAAAATTGTACCACCAAAATAGATGCAGAGGATGGGGGGAAGTAATCTTGGTAGTTACTGCTTGCTTGCAGCAATTTTGTGCACTCTTGCCAATTGAAGCCTCTGGCTACACTTCCCCAGGTTCTGATTCATTGTTCCCTGCTATGTCTTAGCATCCCCCTGTGTTCCTATCACATCTCCGCTGTGCATGATGCTTCCCCTTTTTTCAACAGGTGGGCAAAGACCTCGTATCTCGGCATCTGTTCCTTTTCCAGCATCAGCCTCCTCCTCCTCTTGGAGGGATTGGAGCCTTCTCACCCCCAGCTTCTGGCTGCCACAACCCCTTGTCTCCTCGGGTATTCCCATCCCCCCAATCTATGCCCAGCTAATGGTGACCTCATTGTATTTAAGGGCCAGGCAAAAAATGTGAACTGAGGCTGGGAGGGAAGCCAGAGTTTAACCCCTTTCTTCCCTGAGGAGTGCCTGAAGCACCCCCCCCCCCAACAAAGGATTCACAAATACCCTGCGTTTGTGTTGGGAGGAAATCCCTCTAGAGCAAATGCCAACTTTTGAAGAGGGGTTTGTCCACAGGACCTAAGCAGGGAAGGAGAGGGTTAAACCCCAGCTTCCCACCTGCTGCCATACCGACAAGAATCAGCCTGTTCCCCATGGGCATGCTTGCATGTTTAAAAACAAGCACAGGCAGTAGATGCAGGGACAGCCTTCGGTTGAACGTCTGATTTGGCTCTGACCCTAAGCCACTTGTTACCTTTTCCCCTCTGCATCCGCTTTGTTTCATTATTGGTCCCGTTTAAGCTTTTATCCTGTTCTTCAGATAAATTTCCAGATCAAGCAGTCTGTGCATCTAGCCAGCTCCATCACACAGCACATGTGGCAGCGCATGGTTCGCATGTAAAATTCTCTGTTTCATCTTTGGCATTTGGATGGAAGAATCTAAGGAGAGCAGGCCTGGGGATGGGCCCTGTCTGGCCCCACTGCAGAGCTGGGGAAGTTCGGACCAGCTTAGCCATCCCCAACATGGTGCTCTCCAGATGTTTTGAACTACAACACTCAGAACTTAGCCATGTCAGCTGGCATGGTTGGGGCTGAGGTCTGAAACGTCGGGTGAGAGCAGGGAAGTCTCAGCTGGAATGTACCTGGGTTAGAACAGGCTGAGATGGGCTGGCTGCATTTAGGGAAGCTGTTTGCATCCCGCTGGGCATTGTTGTGTAAGACTGCCAATGACTTCCTAGTCGAGAGTGACTATTTGGGAAGCCCTCTGTCATACAGTGGCTAGGAGCGGGTCTGTGAGCAAGGGAAGCATTGGCTCGCCTCTTGAATGAGCCACCAATTCACCAGATAACTGTAATAGGCCATCTCTTGTCCTTGATTCTCTTCTGCAAAATGGTCAGGTCGATAATCCTGACCTGTGGAGAATTGGAGAAATGCTTCACATTGCTAGAGAATTACCAAGTGGGGCTGATTAACACCCTAGTGTGATTTATAGGTAACCATGAGCTGCAGATCTGTGCTTATTTGTTTGTTTGTTTATTTAAAACCTTTCTGTGCCGCCCCCATCGCAACAAAGCCTCGGGGCGGCTCACAAAGAATACAGAAATACATACATAAATAATGATAATATAACAATAAAAAAAAACTTGAGCCCCACTGAATTCGATGGGGTTTCCTCTTGGGTAAGTGTGCAGGGGATTGCAGCCTATGTTTCTCTCTCAGATGGAAAGCTTCTGCGCTGTCTTACTACTGCGGCATTGTGATAACTTGTCTAGGGAACAGTGGTACTGGCAGAAACCCTGATCCTGCCCCTCCAAATCTTTCCACCACAAGTTACAGGGTCAATTTCGAATGGCAAAGGAATAGCTGATGGAGAAAGGATTCCTCAGCACCCTTCCAGGCACATACACACCGAGAAGTTCATTTACCCAAGCTTCCAGGAGTTGTTTCTTGTAAAAACATAAACAAAACAAAAAAGCAAAAGTTTAGGCAAGTTACTGTTATTGTGTAACATAGTGACTTGATGACACTGATCTTTAGTGACTGTCTTCCAAGACGTTTAAATAGCTTACCATTTCTTAGATGTATATATGGACTAAAAGAGCTGTCTCCAATTTAATAAGCTCCAGATATGATGGGCTACATTGGGCATGCTTTCTGGGGATGATGGAAATTATAGTCCAAACACATCTGGAGGGCATCAGCTTGGAGGAGACTGAAGTATAGGGTCATGTGAGACCCACAAAGCGCTTGCTCTTTCTTTGCACCTGTACTAATACCCTCATTGGTTTTCGTTTCAGCAGGGATGGGAAACCAAGTGGAGAAACTGACCCACCTCAGCTACAAGGAGGTCCCCACAACCGACCCGACGGGTATGGACAGAGACGAGGGTCCCAGGATTGGGGTCTCCTACATATTTTCCAATGATGATGATGAAGTGGAGCCCCAGCAGGACTCGGTGGTGTCCGACTTAGGCAGGGACCCCCCCGCATCGCAGCCCTATGACCCGCAGCTTCATGAAGTAGAGTGCTCCATTTATTATCGCGATGAGTGCATTTATCAGAAAAACTTTTCTGGGGAGGATACATTATCGGATGAGGTGGATGGAGGTGGAGGGGGCCATCTAGCCACCTACACCCCAGAAAACCTGTTGAACAGGTGCAAACCTGGCGATCTGGTGGAGTTTGTGTGCCAGGCTCAGTACCCACACTGGGTGGTATACGTCGGGGATTTCCAAGTGGTGCATCTACATCGATTGGAAATAGTGAACAGCTTTCTGACAGATGCCAGCCAGGGCAGGAGAGGACGCATCGCAAACCAGTTGTACCATTACAAACCACTAAGTCCCGCAACAGTGGTACGGAATGCCCTGGATCAAGTGGGTTGCAAGGACCGGGATCTGAGCTGGAGGAACTCGGAGTGTTTTGCAGCCTGGTGCCGTTACGGCAAACGTGAGTTCAAAATTGGTGGTGAGCTGCGGATAGGCAAGCAGCCCTATCGGTTACAGATCCGGCTGGGAGACAAACGCAGCCACACGTTAGAATTCCAGAGCTTGGAGGATCTTATTATGGAGAAGAGGAGGAATGACCAGATAGGGAAGGCAGCAGTCATCCAAGAACTGTCCAGCCATCTTCAGCCGGCCGAAGCAGAAGATGATGATGATGCTAATAATGAGCCCAGTGCCCGGACTGCCACTGAGTAGCAGCTCTTGTACTGCCCAGGCCGCTTAGCCTGGGTGACGGGGATTAAAACTGAAGGCGGCAAAATTGAGCTGTTATAAGCCCTTTGGGCTGCTTCAATGCAGCTTCACTCAATCACATGTGAAGGGAAGGGGGAAAGCTGATTAAGGATCAGCACTTCAGCACTTAACTCCTTCAGTGCTTGATAGAGCCAGCAGCTTGATGTATTGAGGGTTAAAACTCAGGGAGATCTTCCTAACTCTCTGTTTATGCATAACTTCCCACTCCTGCACCCCCTTTCCTCTTCTAGCTTTGCTTTCTGCTGCTTTAAACTGAATGAGGCCCAGCAGCTTTCAACGTGGTAATTAAATCGCCTAGCTGGGAAGTTCCCTCTTTGCTGCTTTTCCATTTCCTTCCTAGTTTGCATAGTCATTTCTGAAACACATTTACTTAGGTTTACTGGTAGGTTCTCCAAAAGGGACCTTCTAGCTATTCCTGTTCCTTCAAGGAGTGGCCACATGATCTGTTACTTGTGTGTAATTGGGGTTGCTTGTGCTGGCTGTTGAAGTGATGTGGAAATGACTGGGGAGAGTGAGAAGTGGAGAGGTCATTTTCTTTCTGTGGCTTTTGTTGGAAGTATAGGAGGATTCTTGACCTTCCTTTCTGGTTTCTGCTGAGGGAGCTAAAATGTCTTAATAGAAGGGGCTAAGTTGCAAACTAAGACTGGTAGCGTCTTGTTCAGCAACCGGTGATGCCAGCCTGACTTTGGGTGCCACTGCAATATTTGGGACAATTCCCCTTGGGACAATTCTCCAATTCCAATAGTGTGGAATTCAGCTGAGCCATGCCTACCAACTTTGTTATATCTTGCAGTCCAGTCTGGAAATTATTTAAGCTGAACACTTGTTGGAATGCAGTTAAATCCACTTAACACTACAAAATTGCTTCAGATCCAAGCACTGTTCAGGCACATCTGTAGTTCTGCAAAATGTGAATCGATTCAAGATTAGCCTGATCATCTTGCTCTTCCAAGGAACTCTTTTAAGATCTTTTTGTTGATGAGAAGCACCCAAAAGTTGTGGGGGGGTCCTTTTGAGGTGAAACTGGTTTGTGGTACAGATGTGGCCTGGTGAAGCTACTCTGAAGATCAAGTTACTGGCAAATTTGAAAGAAACGCCTTTCCTCCAGTTTGCACTGTAATTTGGTTTATTTGTCAATCTGTTGGCTTCGGGATTCCAGAAAAGCACTTTCAGAATGTTTCTGGTTTTTTCTTTGTGAGTGCAGCAAAAGTGAGTGCAGTAGAGAAATCTCTCCTTTTTTTGAATAGATAGCTGGAAGGATAAGGTTATATAAAACTGTTGTGCATTTTCCACTCGGGGCAATTCTGCCTTCACTCACTGCTAGCTACTTCCACTTGAGGCCTTTCATAAGCTTTCCCAATAGGCTGCTGCTTGTCAAGCGATATTGTTGGGGAAAGAAAGAGGGAGCAATTGTTCTCCTTTTGGCAAGAGAGCTGATTAAAAGCCATCTGACAAGTCTCCTGAACAGTAGGGTAAAGATAGGGGTGTGGTTTTCATCAAGTGTTTGCTGAGGCAGTGCTGTTGGCAGTCCAGGAGTACAGTTGGCGAGGTATGATTTTTGTAAAGCCCCTTTCATTTCATGTGGAATCACACTTGATGGATTGCTTTCCAGCTGCACGTAGAATCCCGTCTTCTAGATTCCACTGAATAGAAATGTCGGTGTCTCTGTGCACATGTCTTGTGTTCTGCTCACCTGAACGGACTGTTAATGTTCTCTCTCTGTATGAACAATAAGGAAATAGCTGATTTCTTGTACAAGTCTCATGCTTGGTCTAAGTCGTAGAAATTACAATTTAGAAGCAAAGAAAGTGTTCAGTGTAACTGAGCAGTACACATGGAGAGTTCGGGTCCCAACTCCAGGACCTGAGATTGCTTACTTCACTAACGGGTGCAGAAAATTCTACCAACTCTGCCTTGTAAGTTTGGGGGAAAGCTTATGGATCACATGCACTAAGGCCAGCATTAGCTACAGTCTTCATGGATCATGGTCTGGGGTGTTCCTGTGGAATTCAGCAGGTCTACTCCAGAGTAAGCGAGTAATGTAAGAACTGTAGCTCTGAGATAGAAATAAGTTTCAGAAATGATTCCATCATGAATCATTAACTGGAAAATTGTCTAGTTCTCCTTAGCCTTTTGATCCATTCTTCAGATACGTTGTTTGATTGCAGCTAAGCTAGTTCCCTGATGATCATAAGCAAACTTAAGATTGCCTTGCATGTTTAGATAGCAAAAAAGACGTACAATTCTCAGCAGTCCCGAGGCAGCATGGACGTTTACTTGCACCTAAGCATACTTAGAACTGCACCCTTAGTTTGTGATCCTAAAAGGCCTTTGAGCAGTGACTCTCAGGCTTCTCACTTGGACTTGATCAAAAGTTAGGGACGCAAAGTAAATGACCCCTTCAGGATTGCAGTTTAGGATCAGTTTGTGCTTTCAGCGAAACAGAATGCTAAAGCCAAAGCTTTTCTAAGTCTGGCTGGGGGGCGGGAGGGTCACATGATTGAATACTTCTTTACCCAGTGCCCAAACATGGACCCTTCTTGCACCAGGAGCTGTGCCCATCAGGCAGAAATTTAATGTGAACACATCTACCTCTGCTAATTTCCCTATGCATGTCGTTGTATCCACTGGGATGCTCCACCATGTGATCTTGTCTTTCTCTCACACCTAGCGTAAAGTGGTATAGTCCAAAACCTTGGTTAGTTTCTTCTGCGGAATGCAAAGCCGGCTCCATCCCTCATCCCAATGCACTTGCTGCCCTTGTCTGATTGAACTTACCCAGGTTGTGGGCTGCTTGCTTGCTTGCAGCAGGCAGAAAATAACAACGCACAAAGCAAGTTATGAGTTAGCATTCACCCACTTGCTTCCAGACCTTCCATTGTAAGATAATGGAAGTTCATAAGAATGTCTTAAGGATATAGGGAAACTTGCATGGGGTGACTTCTTTTACTCGTGTGTTCCAGATACTGTGATGATTAAGTGAACGTGCACTGTTGCTTTTCTCTGCTTTCTGAGAAAGAAAGCATGAGATCAGAACTTATCTGATTGATACATTTGGAGGAACAGGATGTGGTTCTGAGCACATTTTCATTACTGGTCAGATGTATCTGTGCTAGGTCATAGTTCCATCACAGCATGTAAGCTGTTGGCTCAGCCTCTGTAGATGTAATTCCAAAGGGAATAATGCATTTCAGCCTTTCTCCTCTATATGCCCCTTGGGAATAAACGCAAGCTAGTTGCAAGTAGTACCTGATTTGCTTCCTAGAGCTGTGCCTAGTCAGGGGGAGGAAAGCCTGTCCGGAAACCAGTGGGTGTCTTCCACTCCACTCACATATCCCCCTCTTGTGGAATAAAATATTTAAGGACGCCCTGTAGTTGGGCTCTTGCTGTCAGCTGAACTAGAAGATGGGTGGCAAGCAAATGTCGATGGAGTCGCAAAAATGAAGCAGGGGCAGATCTTACAGGTGAAAAGCAGTGACAGGAACGTGTCTCCATGCATGTCGGCCATTTTTCTCCCTGCCCCTTTACTGGCAAAATTCTTAAACAGGTATTCTCTAATATCTCTGTGGAAAAGCGGCATGGAGGGATTGCAAAAGAAAAGCAGCAGGCAGAGGAAGAAAAGAGCTGTGTGTTCTCCCACACACGTACACACATCTCAAGTTTGCCTCTGACTGTTTAGTTCTGCCTTCTAAATTCTGCCCTTTAAGGATTCTGCAACTGGGAGAATTCTGGCAAGGACAGCTTCTTCTGTTATTGCCCTGTCGTGATGGGAGAAGTTCTACATGCTGAAATTCTCCTCTCCAACGGCTACGAGAAGCAAAGGAGCTTTGCTTCCTATTAAATTTGGCAAATGCGTTCGAGGCCCAGACTCAATAATTCATTATTAATGGTTCCAGTCCTGAATTTTGTACAGAACAAAACTTTATTTCATTATGTAACAAGCAGTTGTAAAAGAAGATATTTTCTTACAAGTATTTTTGAAAGAAAGTCCATCACAAGAATATTTGCATTTTTAAAAAGTTGTATTATTTTTCACATGCAAAATTATCCTCCAAAATGATTTTTATTTTTGTCATTAGTGATCTAAAAGTATTTTCTAGGTCATAAATCTAATGTTAAAAAACTATAGATGTCAAACATTATGAATCTATGTATCTACAAGGTACTGAATTGTAAATTAACTGTGAAAAATATTTTTCCCTGTGTGACAGAACATTGGAGATGGTTTATGGAAAAAAAAAAATCTGTTTTTTTAAAGCCATGATTTGTTTTATTTAAAAAACAACGACAAATAGTTTCAGACAGTTTCAAACAAAATTCATTTGTTGACCAATACATTATTATTCTGTAAACCACAGAGAGCTTTGGTTATTGGCAGGTATAGAAATATTTTGAATGATCAATGAATCATACATTGATGCAGATTAAGGGATTGGTAACCAATGCTCAGGTGCACTGAAATTTCTAACAGTGCAGTTTCCAAACAGTTGCTGATGCAGTGTTTTTAATGCTACTGTGACTCAACTTGGCGATCGTCATTATCTCCTTTTATGAAAAGCATTGTTCTCATGTAACTGGTCACACGATGGTGGACAGGTCTGAAGAAATTTCAGGAACTCTACATTGCAGTATCCTGAGCTGTAGTAACTTACTCAACACTCAGTGCAAGCGGTCACTAGAGCTCACCTTTCCCCCAGTATACTGTGACCATCGTCAAGGTACTGCCTTGTTTGAAGTAGGTACAGGTCTGCACGGCTTCTGACCCTTGCTAGGATGCTCAAGTGCCGGGCAGATCACAACATACGGCTGGTGAGACGGCATTTGACCGGATGGTTCACACAATGAGCAGATCTGAACTCCGATCTTGGCATGTTTGCTCAGAGAAGTGATGGGTCCATCACAGACATCTGCACAATAGCTCCACGTGAAAGGCACCGGTCTGCCGCAGCCTGCGGGAGTCCCTGCTGGGTGCTGTGGAAATGTGGAAGTGGCTTTGAGCTGGAAATCCGTTCTCTTAATTGAAAACATGTTAGAATTTATTTTACTTTGCCATCTGCTTTCCACCTCCTGGGATATGTTTCCAGCACAGTGAGAAGCCTTTCCGCATCCCATGATATCAAAGAATGAGGCAGAGCTTCCTGAGGAAACT